TGACCTACTCCAAGCTGCTTGAGAACCTGAACAAAGACCTGGGACATGAAGTTTGCCAAGTTAGCTAAGATATCTGGATAATCAGTTACCACAGGAACGGTGGTCATGTTAGGCTTTATTGGCACCTTACCCTGTCCAAATCATTCTCCAGAACAAACTCTACCCCTGCAGGTGAAAAAAGGGGTGAGCCCTCACAACCACCAAACCTGTCACCTGGTCTGATTTGAGGAAAGCAGGTATGCAAAGGTACAAGCAGACTCATTAGAGAAGGACAAAGCCGCTATTTCCCTCCTGACAAAACACAGCACATACACAAACACGTCAGCAAAGCATCTCCACACAACTCTACAAACCAAGTCTTACACACACTATACACTCCAGCGTCTTTCACCAAAGCTTACCTGCGCAACCAGCATTTCCTCCATGCAAGACTGTTTGATGAGCCCCCATAGATAACATAGTAAAGGACACCATACCCAAGGATTAGCTGTAAGCAAATTAATTTCATACCCAAAATAAATTACCAAGGATTTAATCAAGCTATGTCAGAAAGTCTGGAGGTCTGGCCAAAAAGAATAAGAGAAGGGAAGAAGCCTGAGGGCAGCAGGACTCAGAACTTCAGTATAACATAACAAACAAAGTTGCAAAATCTAGAGTAACCTCAAAAGAAATGAGCACAACAAAAAAAAACAAGGGGGAAGTGCCTGACAGTTACTTGTAAGAAGCTGTTCACTTGGCCCATGACTTAAGATGGCTAAAGTCGTGGAAAGTAAAGTTCAGTTAATTTTAACCAGGCCTGCCAGCTCTTCACATTAGTTCGGAATGAGATTTGGTGTCAGTGAAGTCAGTGCATTTTAGTAGGCCTTCTGTGACTGTGTGTGTGTGGAATTTTGTTTCCTTGTGGCCTGGATCACAGGCTACCTCACTGACAGGCCGCAGTATGTCAGGCTGCCTGTCAGGCGTCATGGCGAGAAACAGTGACACACCCCATGGAGAACTGTACTGTCACCGTTTCTTTTCACACTCTACTGCACTTTCTGACTTTTGCTTTGACTCTGGAATGAGCCACCTCCAGAAGTTCTCAGATGACTCCTCCATCGTCAGCTGTATCACAGATGACAGGGAGAAGGAGTACAGAGACCGGATTTAGAGCTTCATTGGATGGTGTGATAGCAACTACCTCCAGCTCAACACAGGAAAACCAAGGAGCTGGTGGTGGACTTAGACGCAGCAAGAGTCCCCACACACCCGTTGTAACAAGACGTGAGGGAGTAGAGATGGTGGACACCTACAAGTTCCTGGGGGTGCAACTCAACAAAAAACTCGACTGGACGGACAAAACGAGGCCCTCTACAGGAAAGGACAAAGCAGGCTGTTCTTCCTGAGGAGGCTCAGGTCCTTCAGTACTTGCTCCAGGCTGTTACGGATGTTTTCCCAGTCTGTAGTGGCCAGTGTCATCTTCTTCACTGTGGTCTGCTGGGGAGGTAGCATCAGAATCAGAATCAGAAGGAGCTTTATTGCCAAGTAGTGTTTTACACATACAAGGAATTTGCTTAGGTGATAAGGTGCTACACGCAGACAAACATACAGTTGACATAAATAGATGTAGAAATATATAAATATGGAATAGACAATGCAAGTTATAAAAGAATAAAAAAATAATAGATGAAAATAATATAATTCGAGAGAATTTAAGTCCGTGAGATGGAAGACTTTAGAAAGTTGCGTGGCGCTGCGAAAGCCCCCGCTGCAGTATCACGGATCACGCGTAAAATCCATCCAGCCAGAGGGAACGATTACCAGCTGTTCACAGCGCACCAGTCATAATAGCGACACAACCCATTGTAGGTACCGGAGAGGAAATGGGGGCGTTGGGGCATACAGGACCAGGGAAAGGAGATTGCAGAGCGACCGGGCACTGTGCGGACGGTCAGTCTGTGATGGAGTGATTGTTCCCTCTGGCTGGATGAAGCACGATCTGCTGACATTTCCTCGTGTCTGGATCATTCCAGCATACTGTTATCTGTTTCTGATGGGGTTTGCCAAAGAAGTTTTTCAGGTGTGTTGTCCCAAGTAGTTAGTGCAATTTCAGGCAGGATGGGCAGGTATATACGATTTACACATACTCAGGACGCACTGAACGAAACAACCCAAAGTTTTCCCTCCTGACTCTCCATGGCGGAAACCATTAAAACATGCAAAACCCTAATTCAAATACTCCCACCTCCATTGTGTTTGCTCCTGTCTACGCAATAATTCTTAGTAAATCACCCATAACAGGTACTAAAACTGCACATACAATATTTTAGAATGCACACGCAATTTAGTACTCTTTATTCAGGATGTTATGAAATCAGACCCATGGTGTTTTTTCAGTCCATGTATATTAATACATCTACATTGAATGTTACTGATTCTACAATACTACATCTGTTCTTTTACATTCCTCTTTGCTGCTATGTCAACCTAAATTTCCCCAGGGGATTAATAAAGTTCTATCTTATCTAACTCTTATCAGTTTAAAAACTGTAGCAGCCAAATTGACACTTATAGATGAAAAGCCAAGTCAATGATCGCGGTCACTGATGAATAAGTCTGGCTGATCAGCATGATTGTCAACCCCCAGACATCATAGCCTTAATCAGGTGACCAAACCTAACCAAGGTCTCTGGGGATCTTGTCCCAGAAAACTGTTAATTTCAGACTGCCTTCTCAGCTCCTCAAAAGCAACACATTATGATCAAGATGGCTATCATGCTAAGTTTAATTATTCTGCCAGATATGTGGTAAATATACATCAGAAAAAGCTGCTTACTTTCTGTTGGTTTGACCCTTATAATCAGCTGGGTGTAAGTGGGCAGGAGAAGTAGAGAGATGTGATCTGATAGACCAAAAAAGGGATGGGGTGGGGGGGCTTTTATGGTGAGTCTGCAGTGATATTCAATATCTTTCTGTAACTTGTACAGTATGCACAGCATTTTCTTTTTTGCTCAGTGTTGAATGAAACACCTCCAAAATAATAAACAATACACCCAAACCAGCAGAATGATGTGATTTATTTCAGAATTTTTTCAGCAACATTCTGACTGTATGCATTTTAATTAACTAATAATAAAAATATCTAAACATGTGATTTCATTTTGTCCCCTATCACTTCCACTGTAAACATGTTAGGAGCTTTTAATGGCCAGAATGAATGGCAGGAATGACAGAAGCAAGCAAAACCTTTTTGAATGTACATATATGCAGCTTCTGGTTTAACACAGACTTGACAATACTTTCAAAAATAAACTTATACGAGAGGAAATGGATATAAATATTTCATAACAACTCAAAATAGAAAATGACCTGAAGCTGAAAAAAGTATTTAGTATGTGTTCTTGTTTGAGTAACAAAGCCGAAGCCGAATGTGATTAACATGTCTGCATGTTTGTGTGTTGTGTTTTGTTTCTTCAGAGGTTGGTCTCGATGAACATGCCTCTCAACAGTGATGGGACAGTTACCTTCAACGCAACACTGTTTGCCCTGGTTAGAACTGCACTGAAAATAAAGACAGAAGGTTTGTATTATCAGCAATGTATGTGGAAAGTATACTTATGTTAGCCATTTCTAGTGAATATGAATTTCCAGACAATTGCCTGTAGTTTCACACATAATCCCATTAACCTGTCAGGAGCATTATTACATCCTACTAAATCTGTCACATTCAAATACTGGAGGTCCTGGTTCAAAACTGATTTTTGATATGGTATGAATGAAAGTTGAAATGAGAAATTGACGTGAGACAATGTGCTAAATAGTAGACCTATCTTGGTGTTGTAGGGATGTAACAGGTTTTGAGGCTATTAACACCATTCCCGGTCAATATTTAAAGTTCTCAACTTTCCAGTTCTGCATAATCAACCTGCCTCTGTCAGAGAAGAACAGCAGAATCAGTGCTCAGGTTGTCTCTTGGCCCTAACACTTTCAAAACTCTAGGGTGATCACTTTAGTTCATTTTGTGCAGGCTCATCGATAAATCCGCTGCCGTCACCACTGCTCTGCCATTGCCGTCTGGATTTAGTGCCCTCAATATACAAGAAAGCAGGACTCAGATGCACCCAACAAATTCCACTCATATAGGAAATAAACACACACAGTGAGGAAGAGAAGAACTACTTTCCTTAGCTTGGAGGATAGTGAGAGTTGACACAGCAGAAGTCTGGATGTCAGAGAGTCTATGGCGAGGTGAGACAGGGTATATATGAAAAACTCAGCATCCGACCAGGTGGCTTCAGGTAAGAAATCTGGCGTCTTCTTGATGGGGACGGGAACCAATTGGTGGAGGAGATTGTTGATAGTGATATAGTTCAGTGGTGCATCAATTAGCAGCATGTGCCTTTGTGTTGACATACACGACCCATTGTGGACAAGTTTGTGCATCGCTCTCGAGCACACAGCAAAGATCACAGAAAATCACACCATCAAGACATTATGTAAAGTCACCATAAATCACAGTGTGTGAATATTCGCTGCTGTACAGTGTGCAGGTTCTTCCTTCACAAACACTCCCTGGCTGAGTGCAGACAGCACAAAGACCCAACAACGGACAGCTTACATATTGCAATGTTGTGCAGTTACTAACAGCTCCTACTTCTCTGGAACTCTCTTGTTGCAAAGCCTAGGAATAAATAATTTCCCTGGGCACGGAGAGACAAAGGACAGCCAGAGCCCAGCGCCCTGAGATGGAGGATGTTACTGGCTGGCCCCCCCTGTTCTTAGAAGGACACCGTCCTGGAAAGCTTCATACAAGCACGTGAACACTTTGAAAATCAGATTTGCACCAGTGTTACAGGGCCGTTGATCTCCATCAGAAGACCTGTCACTTGCCTCTCTCTCATAAGGCGGATCACATCTCACTGGGTGTGCTGGAGCTTTCAGAGTTTGGTAAATTCATAGTTTGTTACAGTTCTAACCTTTGTTGTGTTGGAACAAGCAGGTTTCTTGCAGAAAGGCTCCTTCGTTCAGGGTCAAGTTGGACAGAGGGCTGCACAGGCCACCGTCAGGGCGAAGCACAGAGCTTTAGGTTAAGGGTCTGCAAAGTATTGAAGAGAGATTTGACATAGTTCTAACTTTTCTAACTTTAGTCACGTTAGTATGCTGGATGTCGGAATCAGTTGATCCTTTCAGCTGTTGCCCCCACTCTTCTGGTTAAGCCAAAGGGAGAGGCCAATGAACAAAACCAATCCCTGGGGTCACTCCTGGCTTTAGGGGTGGGGGCTGTGGTCTGATGTCAATGGGTTAATTATTAGTGGTCCAAGCCCGAGTGGGCTGGGGACCCGCAAATGCAAGGCATTGCAGTACCCAGTAACAGCGGAGCTGGGAACCCTATTGTAAACGTTAGGATTTTTATTATTATTCTTCCGTACGTTTTCGCCTAATTCCAATACTGCAGCCTAGACAGTAATGAGACGACGGCATGCGAAAGAATTCGCTCACTTCTACCACTAGGGGGCGTACAAAGAAAGCTCCTAAAAATTGTTCCTCTAAAACCACAGGTCACATTGGCATGAAACTTGAGCCAAATTGTTCAGGATGGTCCCCTCACTACAGGCACCAAAGGTGAACTAAATATACCGATAGATGGCGCTGCTATTGCAGATTAAAGATGTGAAAAAAATCCCATTGACTTACATGCACAACCACATGCACAACCACAATTCCGATTGATACCAAATTTGGGGCAATTGTCCCCCCTGATGACATCTGAAAAGTTTGGAGCAATTTGGCCAAAAGGTGGCGCTATAATCGAAGCTGAAATACCGTGGGAAAATCCCATTAATTTCAATGGGATTTTGAACCAAAAGACATTTTGCCTCATAACTACACATCACAACATCACACATTCATGAACCTAATGTCTACATGTTTGGAGATACTGCCAATTCAGGTGGTATAAGACACGCCTCTGTGCAATGACGTTTTCATTTTGATAAACTGCGAAAACTGAAAAACCTATTTTAATTAACTCCTCTGAAACCGCAAGTCTGATCACCACAGATAAAAGTTTGTAGAGGGAATTTTGATCCGCCAAAAAAACTCTTTATTATTATTATTATATTATTATAAGCTAACAAATTTTTGCCAAAACGCAAAAAAACAGGATGTGATGTCATATCTTACATTTACAACGTCCGAACTACACCAAACTCGGGGACCTTATCAGCTACACCCTCCCGACGGGCTGTGTGAAATTTGGTGTCAATTGCCCTCTAAGTAGAGCTACTAAGCGTATGTCAAGTAACACTCCCATACACATACTTTCATTTTATATCTCTTTAATTTAGAACTCTGGTCGTTTATTAACGGCCCCCCGAGCCACGACAGGGCGGCCGGGCCGGGAGGCTTGGACCCCGCTTACAACTGCTTGCAGTTCTAGTCTTCATTATTCTAATTTCTTTGCTTAAGAATTCAAAAAGTATTTAATTTACTTTAATAAGTATTCTCCAATGTTTGAAACCTGGGCCTCATCAGTTGCAATATACTACTAAACAAATGGAGTCAAAGTAATCCAGGTTTAAATGACAATCATGTACAACATCAATTATTATGACAATACACAGATATACTGTATATATACAGCATAAACACTAAATCAAAACATGCCAGTATTAATACATTTCAGTGTGAAACAGAACATCTTCTATTTTTCAGTATCGACAGGAATGTGTGTCTGCCTTCACAGCATGCTGTGATTTGTGTTCACATGCTGGGATGTTGGGTTATCAGACCAGTAGGGTCCAGGTCAGTCATAAAATGGGGGTAAAATGGTCACTTAACTTCCCTTGATGTCATCCCTTGAGTCCTGGAATGGTTTGTTTCTGCTCAGAAGAAAGTGAAGACAGGAGTCCTCATAGAGCTTATTTAGGAGTCAGAGGTCATGAAAACAAGTGTTTTGAGTGAGGGCATCAGTTTTCTGTGGAATATCATAATTTTATTTCCTACAACACCAGCATACACTGCTGAATAGAGTTGAGCCGGATACTCGGCGAGTAGTACACTTTTGCCGAGAACGAGTATTATATGAGTAATACGTGTCAATATCTGTGCTCGAATTGAATAAAAATCCTCATTGGGTAGCTGACTGTGTCTGCGTTCTGTGATAATAGTCACAGCGCCCCTCCCCTACACACATACAGATTTATTGTGTTACTGAACGAGGATTAAACTTTAACACTTCAGAAATACGACAGTAGCACGCCTGCATCTGACACATGCAGGGAGACAGAAAGTCGCTGACAGTGTGAATGTCTAAATGAACAGGCGTAGTCTATAATAATGCATTGATAAAAAGTGTTCACATGAGCTGTATAAAAATATCAGCCTTATTCTTTCTGCTCGGCTGTGTGTTCTTTGTGTGTGTTTCCACATTAAAAGACTCGGGCCGTTCTCCCTCACTTTAAAAAAACTTCCACTTCAAAAATTTGATTAATTTATTTAACACACTCAAAAGTGTTCCAAACATTGTTCTAAATTAACTTCATAAAGCAATGAAATGAAAACTCCATTCATGCCAGAAAATGTGCTCAAATAATGTTTGAAAGACTGAATCTCAACATTTAGGCTGCTGAAAACTCACCGTCCCACCTTTTGCACCCAAATCGCAAAAGGTGGGACGGAACATGACTACAGTCTCTATAGTAGGCCTCAGAAAGGTATACTAACCTAAATAGATAGCCTATGTTCATATTAAAATTCAGTATTTCAATATCCCTACCAAACTGCTCATAATATTCAGCCTCATAAGAAAAATAAAACCCATTTATTTTAACGGCTGCGTCAGGGTGTGTGAAACGGACTGGGAGCAAATAAAAAATATTAAACACATTTAAAGGCAGTAAGTAGGCTGATCATGCTGTACTGTAAAAAACTGTAGGCATCACCGCTGCAAACATAAAGCAGCCTATTGGCTAAAACAGTCTGTGGAATTTCCTACAGATGGTGATGTCATTTTCTAAGAGAGCTGATTGGTCAGTAGGAGGCGTTTTCACAGAGTTAATCTCTTTTCGGGAACATAACCTGCTCCGGAGCAGGTTAGCCTTCAGCATAAGTTACAATGGAGATCTACCCGGGTAAAAAGTGAACCACTGGTGGTACTGAAAACCCAGGGTTAACCCCGAAGTTACCTTGATAAGCTCAAATCCTGCTTTGTGGTACAGGCCTCTGGTGTGGAAAAAAAAAAGAACCAAAAAAATAAATAAAAAATCACACTGATCATAAAAATTTAAAATTTAAAAAATTTAAAAAATTTAAAAAATTTAAAAAAATTTAAAGTTAAAAAAAGTTATGTTGAGTATGAAAACTCTTGTTCATTACATTTTACTTCATAATTGCAACCGCATGTGTTGTATTCATTGTTGCAAAACTTGTTCTGTATATAGTTTGTTATCGTGATCAAAACCATTGATCTGAAGCTCAATGCTGATGCTGTCATGTAAATAGTTTTCTAATCAGCAATAAATATAACAATTTCTGATCAACCCATATCAATTGCATGGTTAAAATAACATACTAGTTAAAGCCCCGCCCATTTCAAGACAACCCGATCCACTTCCGGGTTAGTCCCCGCCCAGTCCTAGTACAGATACAGATAATTCATATGTTAACACAGATACAGATAATGCTGTACTCGCTCATCCCTATTGCTGAATGATACAAGCTGTGACATAACAGAAAGAATCCCACGTATCCTTGCTTCACAACTATAGAAAACAACCTCATCGCACATAACGACTGGGCATTCGGAGAACAGCAATCAGAGATACTGAAACAAGACTTTACCAATCCACTGAACACACTCCGCTCCTCGAATACAGCAGCACTCAGAAGAAGATTTGAGAGATTCAGTACATTGTTGGAACTTAACACATTAAGGAATTGTTGGGCTTCTGTAAATATCATCACAGAGTACGGTCTAGACCTGCTCTTTTATGAAAAGCGCTGTGAGATAACTGTTGTTGTGATTTGGCGCTATATAAATAAAATTTAATTGAATTGAATTAACTTTTTCTGGGACCACAGATATCTTTTTAAGGCAGATGGACTTTGACTTTACAAGTTAAGTTCATCTCCAGCACATATTCATTCCTGTGTCTCCCATCTGTTCCCTCTGCCACAGACAAGATACAAGACAAATCAAAACAACATGACAAAACACAACACACCAGAAACCTTGAAAGAGAGCCAACTGATGCAGCTGTTTTTCGATTATGAAACTTTGTTTCAATAAAATATTCAAGTCCCTAAGTCTTTGGCTTTTTCTACATGTTTTTGTGTGTGATTTTAGCTGTATAGATTGGCAACTTTTGGTTACATGATCATCAAAATGAATGCTGCAGTTTACTTTGTTCAAACCGCCTGTAGGCCTCTGTGTGGCTTGCAAATATTGTGATATGAAACAGAGGCCAACAGGCCAAATATTATCACATGTGGGCCATCAAACATTTATGAAATAGTTAGTTAGCCTTTCCCTCTGAAGCAGGTGTGTTCAGTCCCTTCCAGATAGTGTGAGGCTCCCTCATGTGTTTTTCGACTTGCACAGAGTCTATTGTTTTTGACCACTGTGCATTGTTTAGCAAAAGTGACTATAATACATTTTTTCGTTGGGGAAAAATCTAAAAGAGCCAATGGCCCTTGGAGAATTACTTGAATGGTGCAGACAGAATAAATCATTGAAGTGCAGGGAAATGCACAGCCAAGGTGCTGAGTGTTTGCCAAAGTTTGTTTGAGCAACATGTAGCAGAAACCATCACAAAATCAATGCAGTTTATGTCGTTTCATTCTTAAATCTAGTTTTCATAACATACTACATGATCTGGACATATGGTGCGTTCTATTTAACATGGGAAGTTCCAAGTCAGAAATTTCAACTGGAACACTCCATTAAGTTGGATTTGCGACTCAGAAAGTGGGTGGGAGAACCTCACCAACTCCGACCTCAAAATCCAAGATGGCTGTACAACAGTAGTGAAAGCTGTAGAAATATGCTGTTTATCGCACTTCTGTCTATTTGTGCCTCATTAAATCAGTTGTACACAACAGTCCTGTCCAACTTATATATGTGGACATGGTGTTACAGTGTTTGAATGTGCAAAACACTGCGTAATGCGTTGTTAAAAAACTGGTATTGCTAACTATGGCCAGAGGCATCAATCTTGGTTTTCCAGCTGAGCTCGGGGGTGTCATTCCCAGCTCTGACTTGCGACTTCGGATGTAAAAGGAACGCTAGTTACTGACATTTAAATAGGTTTAAGCCTGGCAAATGTGACAAAGGTCCCAGGACATCCGGTTGGTTTTAGTATGTTTATTTCATTATCTATGGTAACTGTAGAGGGTAGTATGTTTTTCTGATTTAATTTACATTTCAGAGTTCTCAAGCATTCTTAGTAACTGCACATGCCATGCTCTTGGTGGAGAACCAGAGGATTAGTATGGCTCAGCTTCTCCACATCACTGGAAACTGTCCAACAGACATGGACTCCCTCTGAATCTGGATTTCCTCTTCAACATAAAATATAATTTGCTCGCAGTACATGGTGCAGGAAATAGTAGAACAATGCATGATTGAATGCTCCTACCCAACACTGTTCAGGCTTGTGCAGACTACACGACTTTCAGCGTCGGCTGATCGCTGTGCTGTTCACACTACACAATTTGCCGTGTTGTGACGGGAGTCTTGAAGTCATTGTAGCGTTCACACTACTTGACTGATTGGTGACAGGGGGTCACACACTACGCGAGCTGACAGCGGCTGTATCACCTGACGCTTCTCCAAACCACGTTTTGTCAAGAAAACACATGTGAAATGTGAAACGGGAAATGACCTACACATGAAACAGCTGTTGTTTGTTATTATACAGATAGCAATTATAAAGAATATGGGTGAAAGAATGGATTAGCACAGGCAGGTAGCAGGGATTGTCTGAGCTACAGAGAGAGCTGGAGGTGAGTAAAAAGGGTTTTGCGTTGAAAAAGTAGCTGCCTGCCCCTCGACCTGTTGCTATCGGCCGACTCTTCCAGATATTTGGCATGCTAGATATCTGGCAGACGTTGGCAATGTGGCGGTGATGTGTCGGGGAGCCGTTTTGATGCGTTGTGGAGTAGTTTACACATAACAGCTAGCGACCGCCGATCAACCACTGATTTACCCCTGATCACAGCCTGATGGTCGCCGAGCGGCAAATCGGGCTAAAGGTAAAAATTGTGTAGTATGAACTAGGCTTTAGTTAGGAATTTGACTGATCCTGTCCTCATATCACTTTAGATTGTCTTGAATGTCAATAATTTCCTTTGTCTCATGATTATGTGTCTTCCATTGGTCAGGTAATTTTGAACAAGCCAATGAGGAACTGAGGGGAATTATCAAGAAGATCTGGAAGCGCACTAGCATGAAACTACTGGATCAAGTCATCCCACCTATAGGAGGTCAGCATTAATTTCTGCAGCTGCACTAACTATCCATCTCAATCTCAATTTTATTTATAGCACATTTAAAAGAACCAAGGTTGACCAAGGTGCTTCACAGGTTAAATACAACAACACAGACCTGCAAACTCCTCAGAGTAAAAAAGGTGACAGTGTCTCGGGGGGGAATCCGGTCAATTTTCAAAATAAAACACCCTGTGGTGCCTCCCGATCGTAAAACAATAATAAACACAGTTAAAACGGACACAAAAGGAAATCAATTAACTGCGTAGCCTACTTAATCATAGTAGAAGCACAAAATGCAAACAATGGTTACCAAATCAACAAAATCTAAACATATCATCAAAGTCAGGCAGGCAAAACGCTCTGATTCTGAAATGCTCTCTGTGGCAAATGCAGCCTGAAGTTGACGGAAGAAACGGGGTCACATAGAGCTATGAAGAAGGTAGTAGAAGCACGAAAATGACAAATTAATAACAAGTCAATAACGTGGGGCAGGCTGCACGCTCTAATGCTGAAACGCTTCTGACAAGCTTCCAGTGGACTTTGACGCTGCCGTAACATGCCGTAGACGGAGTCAGTGGATTCCTGACGTTACTCTCGCATCAGCTGTTGTGTAAACACTCACATTTAACTTATCCACATCACGAATGACTGCCTAATGCGTGAGAATATAATATATAATATTCAGGGTAGCTCAGAATTCGAGTAGTAGCCGTAACGTTATGTCTCGGAACTCAGGGCAGAGCACCTGGCTAATGATAAGCCTAGCTAACGTTACAGGGATATTCCACCATTTGGGGAATTAAGCTCATTTTCCACCTCCCCTCGAGTAAAACAATTGTTTTTTACCGTTTTGGAAACCATTCAGCCGATCTCCGGGTCTGGCGGTACCACTTTTAGCATATCTTAGCATCATTATAATAACGTAATAGGTATGACGACAATACAATATTATTGTAAATTATATCACATAAAAAAGCGGTGACGCTGTGTGCTTCAAGATTCTGAAAGTGCTAAGATTCCGATTGGCCCAGAGAAATGTCAACTATAAGAATTATCCAATAATGTTTTGCAATTCTACTCTGCTTGGCATGCAGATGAAGGGCAGCCTACCCACTCCCAAAAAAACACTCCAGTTCTACGCGATTCACGTAAATTACCCAATTGTCCAGGAAAACGGTGATTGTTGCCGAAAAGCGACAAGTTTGCAGGTGTGACAACAAGACACTACTTACACAGTAAAAGTACAGCAATAAAAAATTATAATATACAGTATATATATAGTGATATTAAAATTCTAAGCAAAAAATTCAATAGCTCACGACTGTCTTGTTTCTAGTTCTTAAGTTCTGAATGGAATTAACAACGCTTCAAACAGAATTAAAGAACTGGGAACAAGATAGGACTGTACTGGAACTAAAGAGAGGCAATAGTTTTGTAAATTCTGCTAGGTGTCCCATCTTGGAAGTTCATTAGTATTGCTGGTTCATAATGTTTTTTCCTTGAAAGTTTATTTCACAACTTCCTTTCCAACGTAGTTGGCAAAAGTGCAAATTGACATGTTCTGATTTTGAGTATGTCCACTAACATAACCACAAGGCACTGTCTGCTGTTTCATAGCTATGAGACAAGCAGTCAAGAGCTGTTAATCACCATACCCTGAGCTACGTTCCACTTCATTCCTTTTACACTCCCACTGCACCTACATGAACTACGATAGCAGGACTGCAGCCTGCGTTCATTCAACCCAAAGCAGACAGTCCATTAAAAAGACTGAATTGTAAATGAAAAACTAAAAGTGGTTTTCATTTACCATGTGAAACAAAAAGTCTAAATTAAATATTTTTATTTAAGTTACGTAGGTTACAAAAATTGCATAAATTATGCAAATAACGCGACTTAACTTGCATGTTGCATGTAGTCGAACCATTATCTTTTAGTAAAACTAACCAAGTACTTTTGGTGCCTAAACCTAACAAAATTGCAATGGTTCACAGCTGTAACAATGTGCTGTTTCAAGATGGAGATGTTTCGCAATGTTAACGTTTTATTTTGAAAGTCTAACCGGACGTTTATTGTTGCAAACCGTTGCTAACTTGACCACGGAACCCAAGGGGTCTTGACCAAGCATCCATATGTGACGAGTCGTGAGTGAGAATGTGTTGCCATAGCTTCTTCAGTGTACTTGCAAAGAGAGGGGTGAGTGGCGACCTTACTGTTGGTTGCAATTCGCAACCCTCACCACTAGATGCCACTAAAACTTACACACCAAACCTTAAACTTTTAATGCAACTGTACAACAAATCTAAAATTGACTTTCTGTTACACCTTAATAACGTAAAGTGGAGCCTGATGAATGTTAGGTGATCTAAAATGGCCACTACCCAGGGCATTAATCCTTTGTACATTTAACAACATTGCTTTTCCACTCTTTACATGTGTTTCTGTGTTTTAACAGATGACGAGGTGACAGTGGGAAAGTTCTATGCCACTTTCCTAATACAGGATTATTTCAGGAAATTGAAGAAGAGACAGGAAGAGTACTATGGCTACCGGCCCACCAAGAAAAGTGCTACCCATGAGATACAGGTAAGCAAGTAATGGTATTCAGTGAATGATGAGATAATTATTTGATCATTATTTGAATTATTTGAATTCAATTCATTTGATTTCACTTCAAAGTAGAAAGTCAGGCGGTGTGCTGACTGGACGTGTGTTAACCTGCCCCGCTACTCTGACAGCTAAATCCTGTTTAATACTCATATTTGAGACTGCTGAATACCCATTCTCAGGAGGAGAACCAAAGGTAATGCCTTTGTCACAAGAGCCACAGTAAAACTCTTCAGCTGAAGCTATTGAACTTTACATCACCAAGCTCTAACTCTAAGGCTAACGCTACTGCTAACACCGACGGCATGGCCAACGTTAACGTTAACGCAACGCTTGAGGACACAATGTTGGAAAAAGACAAGCCAGCTGCTACTGAAGAGTCCAGTGTCATGTCGGAAAATATAGAAGCAGCTATCAATAGCATGAGTTCTCTACCAGTTTTGACGATATATTACAGGCAGAAATGAGGATCTCAGCAACTGAGGAAAATGTCTCTGAGCTCCAAAATAAAGTGAAAACCTTGGAAGGTAAATATAAAGACCTAGAGGAGAAGCTACTGGACCTAGAGGCAAGATCAAGGCGACCTAATTTAAGGCTTGTCAATCTACCAGAAGGAGCAGAGGGTGAAGACACGTGCGCTTTTCTGGAGAGTTGGATACCGGAGGCGCTGGAGCTGGCACAAAAAGCTCACTGTAGAGAGGGCGCACAGGATTGGGCCAAGAACAGAGACAAATGCCGCACCCTGGACACTGATAATGAAGTTTTTGAATGCTACACTTTGATAAAGTTTGGTTTTCCTACTTTATGGAGGGTGTTTACACACTCTAAACGGACTTCAAACAATGTTAAATGTGGAGGATGTTGAGGTGAAAACTGAATATATTTGGGGGGGAGGATGCTACAGAACAAATAGTCTTTATTTAACCCATAGTCTACATAACATTACCGTATCTAGGTCCATTTTAGAGTTGTATCGCTGAAAAGTTAATATAACGTCCTTTCATCCTTTCACAGTGGAATACTACCCCCCTTGTTAAGAGGAGCCTTGATCTCTCTGCTCCCCAAAGCAGGTTAACCAAACAATAAGTGTGACAACCTGAGGCCAATCAGTCTTCCGAACACAGATCTAAAGGTACTGTGTAAGATTTTAGCGAGAAGACTAGAAGGAATAATTCCACAAATAATAGGAAAAGACCAGAACGGCTTTATCCATGGCAGACAAGACTTCTATAATGTTTGAAGGGTTTTAAATATACTCTATAAACTCTATTTAAATATGCTCTGTCAGTGGATGCTGAAAAAGCTTTTGACAGAGTGGAATGGCCCTACCTGTTTAAAATCCTTGAGTGTTTTGGCCTTGGAGGAAATTTCTGTATTGGATGAGACTGCTCTATACAGAACAATATGCAGAAATACTGACTAATGGTAACATCTCTAAAACTATCATGATAAAACAAGGGTTTAGACAAGGGGATCCCCTTTCACCATTATTATTTGTCATGGCAATCGAACAACTAGCGACCGCAGTAAGAACCAACAACACTATCTCTGGCATAACCATAGCACAACAGGAACTCCGTCCAGCTTTATATGCCGATGACGTTATCATCTTTCTTAAGGATATGAAGAATCCATCCCGGCTTTGTTGGCCCAAATAAAGACTTTTGGAAGGATTTCAGGGTATAAGATGAATGCATCTAAAACCTTAATTATGTTTTTAAAACATGCAAACAGGGAAAACCCACCTGAAGAAGCTGCTCAATTCAAAAATGTTAATTGTTTTATATGCTTAGGAATTCAAATTGTGCCACGTCTTGAGAATATTGTAGGCTGTTGTATTTGTTTCAGAACTTACCATTGCCCCCACCTAGTAACCCATTCACTCACTTAAGGAAACCTTTCATCAGATTTTTGTAGAACAACAGATGCCCCAGGTTGCAACTGATACTTTTGTACCTACCCTATGACAGAGGGGGCCTTAGGTGCCTCAATCCCCTTTGGTATTATTAGGCAGTACAGATAAGAATGTTGATGTTCTATTTCATATAGGCTTCGCCCTCTAAGGCTATCGCTATTGGGTTCACCCCTTCTGCGTGCCTGCGTGGCACTGAGAATTTTAGTCTAAACCCCACCCACAGCGTGGGCCTCTCCTACGTCCACACCTTGTATATATACACAACAGTGAGACCCAGCCTTCGGCTCCCATTTTTCTTCAGCACTGAGCTGTCTAGAGAGCAGAAGATTTCCTGTCGGAAAAGAAGAGTGATGGGGTGGGACGCCGCTCGGGCTGACTAGTATGGGTGTGCGGCGTCCCTGACATGGGCTTCGTCCTGCCAGGGGACCTCCCCCATACTGGGTGCGCCTCGGACTGTAGCACGGTGGCCGAGCGCTCACCCCTGGCTCACGCTGCTCGTTCTGCGAGTTTGTCTCTCCCGAAGAGACGCAGCACTGGGCGGATCATTTTGCCAGTGAGGATGAGGTAGCGTGGCGGTCCACCCACTCTCTCTCAGGAATCCCCCAGTGGCTCCCCGCTTCCCCCGTTCCAACCTCCGGCTATGTTGCTGCGGTGAGGCAAGCGGTCGTTAAGCTACAAGGATGCTACCGTCAGGCTAACGACATCTGGCAACCGGTTTCATTGCTGCTGGCCGTTCTAGTCGGTCAGAGCTATGGGTTGAAAAGAAGCTGTGTGAAATTTGTGGAAGTTGTTGAACATATGCTGTCTGTGCCTGTCTCAGTCGAACCAGCCACACCAAACACACATTTCCCACACTGTGAGTCAGCTGCCGTTAGCCAAGTTGTTAATCTGCAGCTTTAAGCTCAAAGTTCAAAACACTGTGTGTGTTCCGATCGCCCTGTAGTTCCCTGCTTAGTGGACTGCCCAGGGTATTCAGCCATTTTAAGTGAGATTCCAAACCACAGGGAGCACAAGAAGAAGGGAAGAAGTTTTGTATACAGAGTTTGTATATCTGTAATTATTGTCATTGTAACTAATGTTATCATTATTTATATGATTATTTCAGAGGTTAGGTTTCCTAAAAACAACAATGCTCATATGATTATTTTTTTAAATGACGCTGCATATCTTGTAAATTAATCCACTCACATTCATTCACAAGTTACATACATTTTAATAGAATATAAATAGAAGGAGTTATGGAAATTGTATCAGTTTGTTTTAATATAGCAGGGAGCAGGGAGTAGGGAGTACTGTTTATGTGGATCGGAACGCAGCCTCTGTTCACGATCAGAGGTCCCTTCACACACCCCTCCCCATAGACACACTGCCACTGCAGTGTGTGATGCTGTTGACATTATGCACGTTCCCCCGGCAGTGCCCGGTTGCGAGCTCGTGCATAATCACGGCATCAATGGCGTTCAGGGGTTCCTTCTTGGTTCACGGAAGCCAGGCTGTGTCAAATGAGCCCTTGAAGACGTCATTACGCTTCATGCAGACAGGATAGCTCTACACACAACCCTGTGTGTAGTGTTATCCTATTGCCGCTCAAACACATTACGGCAGGGGACCCACCAATTGGGCGGAAGGCTCTGGTGGAGCGAGTACTGGCTTGCCTCCCCTGGTGGCCACCCCTTGCCGTCAGATTGACTCGCACATGCCCGCCACGCAGGGAGGCACTCCCTCCAGCATGGCAGCGTGTGTTGGCGCCCATACCCTCCCTGCCCCCGCCAGGTGCTAAGCTCTCCTGTTCGGTGGAACACGGAGGTTGCTGCCTGCCAGCACCCCCCCACAGCCGGCATCCCCTCCCCCATGGGTCGTGGCTGGGCAACCCCCTCCCCTTCCCCCCCGAAACGCCCGATTCGCTGGGATCACAGGCTGCAGTTCGCCTCCCTCCTTCGCTGGGATTGTGGAGACTGTGCTCTTCTCCTCGGCTCAGGGTTCTACTCCCGCTACTTCCTGGTCAGGAAGAAGACGTGCGATGAGAGGCCCATCCTGGACATGTCACTGTTCAACTGGGCGATTATGGTGAGACCTTTTCGCATGTTAGCAGTAAAAACAGTTGATGGAGTGTGTGTGCCTCGGAGACTGGCTCTCCTCCATCGACCTGAAGGACGCGTACTTTCATGTGTCTGTTATTGCCGGAGCTTTCTGCGGTTTTCATTCCAGGGCGCCCAGTACCAATATAACCGCCTGCACTTCAGTTACTCCCTGGCCCCGTGCACTTTTTCCAAGTGTGTCGAGACTGCGTTGGAGCCGCTGTGGCGGTCGGGCATCAGGGTCCTGTTTTATCTGGATGACCTGCTGCTGCTGGTGCTGCCCCGGGACGAAGCGGTGGTGCAGACAACCCAGCTAGTCGCATGGATGTCCTGGTGGAGCCGTGTTGTCCCTCGAGCGGCGGTGGCAGCTCTGTCGGACATGAGGCTTCTGGGCCTCATGTCGGCGGCTCACATCGTGGGCCTCCCTACCTGCTGGAGTATACTATACTACTAAGTTATACTTTTTAAGTACTTTTTATTATTGGTATTTGTCATACTTATGTAGCATCCCAGTTAAACAAATAAAAGCCTCGACTGACAGTCTGACGCTGTTTGCACTTTATTAACCCAATGTCGTCAAAGCAAGCTAAAGTAAACAGAAACAGGGACAATAAATCCAAACACAATTAACACAGACAGTAAACTACATACTGCATACTGTGCGCCAGGCAACAGAAAAAAATTATGTCCCTCCTTATGAGCATGTATTATGAAATGTCTGTAAACAATGCAATGAGGTGCAGGAGTGGAGGGCATCTCCTTTCAGGAAGATGAGGGTTTTTAATAAAACTGTTACACTCAGCGGTCACACTGGTGGGTTTATGGGACATAGAGTAGGACACTTTGGACGCTTTGTGGGTCACAACCGACAAGGCAAGCTTGGAGTACTGCACATGCCCTATATCTAGAGTATTGCACATGGCCTATAAGTAGAGTACTGCACATGACCTATAACTAGAGTATTGCACATGGCCTATAACTAGAGTACTGCACATGGCCAATATCTAGAGTACTGCACATGGCTTATAACTAGAGTATTGCACATGGCCTATAAGTAGAGTACTGCACATGACCTATAAGTAGAGTACTGCACATGGCCTATAAGTAGAGTACTGCACATGGCCTATAACTAGAGTACTGCACATGGCCTATAACTAGAGTATTGCACATGGCCTATAACTAGAGTATTGCACATGGCCTATAACTAGAGTATTGCACATGGCCTATAACTAGAGTACTGCACATGGCCTATAAGTAGAGTACTGCACATGGCCTATAGCTAGAGTACTGCACATGGCCTATAACTAGAGTATTGCACATGGCCTATAACTAGACTATTGCACATGGCCTATAACTAGACTATTGCACATCGCCTATAAGTAGAGTACTGCACATGGCCTATAAGTAGAGTACTGCACATGGCCTATAGCTAGAGTACTGCACAGGCAGCAGGCAAGCCTTCTGTGTATCTTCACCTATCTACCCTCTCCTAAGGAGGCCCGTCACTCAGAGCAATCGCTAAGAACCTCTTTCAATGATGAAGGAAGAAGTCCATGGAAAATTCACATTATGTAAAACAATTCAAATACAAAGAAAAGTACTCTTCACTGACCATATGTTCCTCTGTGTCCATCAGGCAGGCCTGAGGAACATTGAGGAGGAGGCAGCGCCAGAGCTCCATAGGGCCATCTCTGGAGACCTTTTGACTGAGGAAGAGGTGGAGCGAGCTACTGACAAAGTAGCTGTGGAGGGCATCTTCAGGGTAACAGGACAGGATGGAAAGATGAATGTACATTGCGTGCACAATCATTAGGCAAATTGTATTTCTCAGGATTCATTTAATCGTTGAACACACAATGCTCTCAGTCAATCCAAAATAGAATTGACCCTTAAACCTGAATGTTTAACTAAGGAAAGGTGAGTTTTGTCTTGCTCTGGAGAATATATGTATGCAGACTTTTTAGGCAACGAAATGACAAATTCTGAATATTTAGAGTAAGTCTAACAACACAAAATTACAACTAAAATAAATATTTTGGCCTTTCAAAAATATTTAGTAATCAATATAGCCACCCTTCTTTTCAAGTTGTATTGTCTTGCCTGTCTGTAAATCTGACATTTGAGAAAGGCCCACAAGTTCTCCATAGGATTCAAGTCGCCAGCCCCATCCCTCTCTCCCTCTTTCTGGCTCTCTGAGCCATGGTTCTGCTCGAGGTTTCTGCCTCTTAAAAGGAAGTTTTTTCTTGCCTCTGTTGCCGAGTGCTTGCTCTTGGTGGGAATTGTTCGGTTTCTGTAAATAATATGGTCTTAGACCTGCTCTTGTATTAAAAGCGCTATATAAATCAGATGAATTTAATTGAGTTGAAGTCAGGTGAGGAAAGGGGCCAGGGCATTATTTGGCCATCTTTGAGGCCCTTGCTAGCTAGACAAACAGAGGAGTACTTGGATGCATGTGATCATTGTCCCGCAAAAAGATCATGGTCTTCTTGAATGGTAAGGACTTCTTCCTGTACCACTGCTTGAAGAAAGTATCTTCCACAAACTGGCAGTAGGTTTGGGGGTTGAGTTTCAGTCCATCTTTGAAAGGTCCAACTATCTCTTTCTTATTTATAGCAGCCCATAACAGTACCCCTCCTCGACCATGCTGTTTCTGAGTCGAAGTGGTGCTGTGTTCATCAGTGATCCAGCCACGGCCCCATCTATCTGGTCAATCAAGAGTCACTCTCAGTTCGTCTGTCCAACCTTTGAAAAATCTGTCTTCAGGTATTTCTTTGCCCAATCTTGACTCTTCAACTTGTGAATCTTATTCAGTGGTGGTCGTGTTTCAGCTTTCCTGACCTTGGCCAAGTCTCTGAGCACGTGGCACCTTGTACTTCTGGACACTCCAGGTATGTTGCAGTTCTGGAATATGGTAGCACTGGAGGATGATGGGTTCTTGGTAGCTTCACGTTTAATTCTACTGAAATCTTCTGCAGTTAATTTTGCGTCTTTTCTTCTCCATGAGCTTTTTGCGCCCCACTTGACTATTTGCAACAAAACGTTTGATTGTCTGGCGGTCACGCCTCAAATGTATAGCTATTTTAAGAGTATTGCATCCGTCTGAATGGCATTATACAATTTTTGACTTTTCAGTGTCAAAACTTTGTTTTGGCTTATTTTACCTGAAGTAATGAAGCTGCCTAATAATCATGCAGACCTTGATATACGGTGTGATTCACTTTCACCACATCCTCCCACATTACACAATAACATATCACACACAAATGATTAACTCAAATGAGCATTCACTTTTACATGGTTTGGAGTTACTCGGATTTGGAGTTTTGGATACTTACTTGCCTAATTATTGTGCACGCAATGTATAAGTGGAGGGAGGGAGGGAAGTATGGAAATAATACAGGGTTTTACAAACAGCCGAACAACCTACTGTCTTTTTGTAATTAACTGCTACAGAATATGGAACACGGAACAGCACCCCGCCCACCTCCAGTTTTGGTGATAGTTAGAAACTCACTTGGTGCTTGGTCAGCACCGATGAACAAAATGTAGGAATTTTATGGAATAGCTTTATGTGTCTGTCGTTATTCATGTTTTTTGTTTCTATGCAGACAATGCAGCTTTAGTGGAATAGGCAATGGTAATGGAAAAGGCGTGATGCAAACACATTACTGACCGTCTCAGAGCATTGTATTGACATGTTACATGTTATGTGTCAACCTTGCATTTAACCACAATAACTGTGCTTCTTCTCTAAAACAGAGACAAGCTAGTCTTTTTGGAAACCACTCGGACCCTTTTTCTGTAGAGCGTGAGATAGCCAGTGTTGGCCAGGCCACCAGCCAGCGCCCTCTGCAGATGGCAGAAGGAGTCAACAACAACAGCGACACAAGTCATAGGTCTGTGTGTCTGTGCTATGTTAACATTCTATTACGATTGTCAGATATGGAGCACTGATCCTGACAGATTAAGAAATAAATACAGAAATAAATAAATTCTCAAATAAATAAACATCCAATTAAATACACAAAAAAATTAATTAAATAAATAAAAGTAATAAAAAAAATAAAAGTAGTAATTAAATTATACAATCTCTTTTAATTAGCTTCTTTGTTCACCTTTGTAATAAGTACCTTATTTATTTATTGTCCAACTTTATTTATTAATTATTTCTTTTTTTAATGTATTTATTTATGTGTGTGTTTTAATATTTTTGTCTGTTTTAGTCTAGCCTGTTTATTTCCCCTTAGGTTATAAATTTCTGTCTGCTCTTTTTACATTTCTCTATGCATTTCTATCTCATTATGCAAATGAGGAAGGGCTGTGTCTCAAGGTGTCAACTTCTCACCTATTGGTGGACCAGTCAGATGGCAGAGGTCATCTCTAAACTCACACATCAACAAGCCTTGTTGGCTTCCTTTAGCGAATTGAATTGATTAGCAACTCTATTTGAAGACTATACTACCAGCAATGTCTTTTTTTAAGTGGACGCTCTGACAGACAGTGTTTCAGTTTGAGGCATGCAAGAACACAGAACTGTGGTAAAATAAGCCAATGTTTGTGAGAAGCACACAGTCAGCTAGAAGCAGCTAAATTTGGAGTGCACACATATTCGATCCCTTGTGGTAAAGGCAGTTTTAACAGACCAGAACGAGCTGATAGGCAGGTTAGAGACTTTGTCAGTTTCTCTCTTTACAAGTGTTACAGTCTGAGAATCTTATCTGAAGAGAGACTATCAAATCTCAGTAGTACGTGATACGAGCACCACATACAACATAATTTATCAAATTACGTCAGACAGAAATTAACACAAAGATACACATGTCACAACGTCTGGTTATTAAAATAAGGTGTTAACAAAACATGTTACATGTGTTCATTAAAAGTGAAAAAGCACTAAATGTTAGGGAAATACTTTCTTCTTTAATTTTGGT